CTAGGAGCAGCAGTCCGTACACCAGAAGCATCCGACGATCAAAGCGAACTCTCCCATGAGAAACAGGCAGATGCACAGACGGAACGGTTGCATGCTGCTGCTGTTCTTGTTGCTGCTGCTGCGGCGCCGGCGCCTTAGACAAAGATGAGGACTCCATGGGTCTGCATGCATGCGCAACGGCGAGGCGATCGGTAGCGGTACTGTTGCCGCCACTACACTTGTAGCTCTGGAGCTGATACTGAATGATTTCAGCTGCACGTGCAAGGATGAGCGGTGTGCGCTGTTTGTGCAGCAGCTCAGCTGTGCCTCCCACTCGCCAGCTCCCCTCCGGCTCCCTCGCCTCCTATGCAAGTGGTAAAAAGCAATCAGAATGCAGCTAATTAAGTAGCCCTCAGGCTCTGCAGCAGATCGTCTGCTGCAGCAACGCTGGGGTACAAAAGCACGCCTGGCAGGCGCTGCTGGGCGAGAGAGGGCCGCAGCGCATCCACGAACACCTAAACTACGTTGTTTGACCAGAAGAGTAGCAAATGATTACAAATGAAGACTTTTTTTCGTTGAGGAGGGAAATGCAATTTCGGGAGATGGCGCCGCGGCTGCAAGCAAAGGGACGCAAGAGGGGGGCCTCTCCCTCCTGTTTGGTGGCCTGTCTGCACAATGTTTCATTTAAAAAAAAGGGCAACGCGACAAATGTCGTTAAATTAATGTAAAAAGGGCTTATCGTTCTCAGCGGAAAGCTAAGGAGGCGTCATACACCCAAGGGCGCGTGTATCGCAAAGGGCGAGCACGGGAGGAGAGGCCCGTATGGAAGTGTGTTTTTTTTGTGTTTTAAAATAACTGTTATAAATTTAAAAAGTAATATCATGTACTACCTATAATTCATATGGAAACCCTAACTTGCACCGCTTTCTGCCTTCCTCTCTCGGTGGCGGTTCGGCGCAGAGGCGCCAACTCCCTCCTCCTTCGCCTTCCACAGCTGTTAGCAGCCCCAGCGCTGCCGACGGAAACAGCTGAGTTGAGTTATGAATTTAAAATTCAAATGTAAATTCAGTCTAAATGAATTTCGAGTTTAGGTAGCAAGAGGCTGCTGCTGCAGCTCGGTTTAACAGCAGCGTGTCTGCTGTGGCGATGCCGTAGCTCGACGCGTTCTTCTCGAGCTGATTCACGATATTACACATCCGTTGCTTTAATAACTCTGAAGTCTTTGCATTGCCTCCTGCTCATTGTTTGCTCAGCTAGTAGGCCCAGTCCCCCCCTTCACGGGCGCATAACGCTCCAGGATGCTCCTGCCACCCCAGCTGCTCCGAGCGGCCCGCCGTAGTGTGGGAAGCAGCTGTGGAAGGCATCTGTTCCCTGCCTTGTGCAATCAG